GGTGGTCCCATGCTCCTCAAAACCTCCAATCTCCCGATCAGAGGTCTTGCTGCCGGATGTAGTTTATCTTCATACCCATGGAAGGACGCTCTGATCTTTAAAAATTCAACTTTATTAATCATTAATAACATAAATTCATTAGGTTTATATTTTAAACATTAATCAAGAATGAAATAAGCGAATCGAGAATTTGTTAAGCATATCAAGGCTCAGCTAAAATTACTTGATGTTAATAATATAGAATAAATACAGTGTATGTAAGACTGAAATACGAGGACATCTGCTGTAATGCGTCATTTGGTAAACACCTTTCACAGAGTAGTGAGTTCTATCTTCACTAGGTGTCCTACTAATATAGTCTTTTAGAGAAACTTAATAAATATCTAATGTTAAAGCACACCTGATCTGTGGACTTATCTTTGAAGATAACGTTTTATTTGATAAGAGTGCCACCCACATCTCACCCGGCTGATTGGAGGCAGTGACTTGGTGCAAAATATTCGATTAACCTTTTCATATTGCCTCAATGTATACATTATTCTAAACAGAACTACTTCCAAGAAGAGAACATCTGTAATATTAATAGAATTTTTATTATAGAACTCCACCATAAATGCACTGTTATCTTTCGATGAAGACCCGTCTTTTATAAGTTTAGTTGGGATACATTTCACTTACTTGCATTCTACCTGTGACTTTTCATCACCTGTCACAATTTGTCTACAAAATCACATAGAGAAATACAGACTAGTAAGTTTTTTCTCATTATGGGGAAGTCACACATGCAAGCGACAAACATAACCAAGCTAGTGTAAATGATTTTCAATGTTTCATTTGGATATTTTGAGTATTTTGTTAATGGATTTTTTTTATCCGACATTATTTCTTATTACGATAAACTTTATTTTTAGTCGGTACTCAGATTTAAGTTATTATTCCTTTTTTTTAATTTTCTTAAATAGGGAAGTTAATAGCAACAGGTCTCATCATTTTACTGTAGATAGATGTAACCATAAGTTCTATTCTAATAGTTTATTTTTTCGCACTTCTCTCTTGTGGAAACTCACCTCTGGTTTCTTGCTTCACTGCCACATCATCAAAAATTTAAATGCAACGTTAATCGCGATCTATGTTTCTGAACACTGTTCTTTTATTGCCCTTTCTTCGCATTGTCGTATTCTCATTTTCTTTCACTTCAAGTAACCTTATGTCTTAGTAGCTTTATCGCATTGCTTGGGGTGAAATGGTTAACAAAAGAATGTATAATGTAAAGAATAGTTTCGGGAAAAATCTCCAATTTTGACCCGTGCGATCATTCATTGTGCCTTTGCAATAAATTGCACACATTTTTTAAAAAATTCATATTGTGTTTTTATCTTTCTTAAAAATTAAAAAAAGAAACAAAACAATATGTTGAAAATAATGATTTTTTCCTACCAGTGTTATAATAAGTAATGTTATATACGCCAATTTTAACAATTCAAAAAATTTCTAGAAGATATGACTGCTGTCAGAATATAACCACAAAATAAAAAATTAAACTTCTCTAATGATATTTAACGATAAAGCAGAAACATGTTTATGGTCTACCCCAACAGAAAAACAAATACTAACAAACGAAACAATAAAACCAAATTAAATATACATTTCGCTTTAACATTACTATTGCAGTGGAAGTGGGATCATGTTACCTTAAGATACGTTCATTGGTAGATCTATAAAAATATTATGGAGATTTATACAACAGATTTCCACCCTGAACTGAGACCCCGTTATGCTTTCATTCGTTGAAATTTCATATCAGTAATTGCTGACGGCTTTCACTGGAGATCAAGTGATAGTAGGTCAATATTTAATATTCTCGCCTTTCCCTGAGTCTTCTAGGTGTTGTCTGAATAGTTTTTAACTTCTTTGCGACTGTTCCAAACATGCCGATAATGATGGGTACATCTATCACTTTATCTCTCGAGATTTTTTTTTTTAAAGTTCTTTCATATTTTTACAGCTTTTTCTTCCTTTTGAATTTCGATCGTTAATCTGTTAGAATTATCGACATCAGACATATCTTCTTTTCTTTGATCCGGCCACTGAGCCTAGATTGGTTGATACGTTTAAATTTCAAAGTTCTATAGGCTTGTCTTTTTCTATTTTCTTTACATATTTCTTTTTTTCTTCTCTCTCTTGAGCCTTCTCTCCCCCAAGACGTGAGTTACAAATTAGAGATGTCAACATCAAGCAAGCACAGAAGTTTAAATAGCTGGGAAATGTTTTAACAGAAGATGGATAATGCGACACCGAAATACGAACACGCATTGGACTAGCTAAACAAAGTGATGAGAAACAGAAAAATCGTTAGAAGCAAAGTTGTGCACGATTGCTATGTGATATCTATCCTCTTATATGGCAATAAATGCTGGACCCCCCCCCCACATACACACACAGATGAAAAGAAAACTGCAGGTAACGGAAATGTGGTTCTACAGAAGGATACTGAGAATTTCATGGACGGAGCGAGTGAGCAGCAAGGAAGTCTTAAAGAAAATAGCAACACTTATACTTAAAATCCGGAAGAGACTGCTGAAATTTATTGGACACATAAGGAAGGGAGATGCTTGGAAAATCTAACCCTTACAGGACATATTGAGGGTAAGAGAGATAGGGGAAGGGGGCAGGTCCAGCGCTAGAGTCTCGCCGCCCCACCGAAACTTTGATACGGAACCTCTCTCTCTACTACATGTGGATTTCAAAGTTTCCCAACCTGTATATTATTAGTTGATGATTGACAATGCAACATCAGTTTAAAAATGATTTAAAAAAATATTGTATGGCCATAAAACAGTGTTGAAAAAATGTCAGAGGCCACAACAGGGCCCCACAAAACACCCCACTCTGGTCGGGGGGTTTCGTGGGTAAGACGTGTCAGCTCTGGAAAGCAGCGATTCACCTACCCGACGAGCTTGTGTGAATAATAGCGGAACGGGGGTGGAAGCATTAGCAAAGGGAGAAAAAACTCCTATGGGCCACAAGGGATAGGAAGTTTTGGAGAGTCATGGTTGCCTAAGTCCTGAAGGGATGCGGCATGTAGAACAACAACAACACATCTTTTGATTTGTCTATATATCATTGCTTTGCATGGTCAAATCCCAGCCATTTGCATTGTCAAATCCCAGCCATTTGCATTGTTCCCAGACTATTACCGTTCTCACTCAACTATGTCTAGTGTTATACTCATTCCGTGCTAATTTGCTAACTTTATTTACATGATTGGCAATTATTATTATTATTGTTTTATGTCCTTTGATTTCTGGTGTGTACTCATTTCTTCCCTGGTCCCACCCAGAGACCTAAGGTCAGAAATAGCATCATGACATCTTCCACTGAGCAATTTAAAAAAAAAAATATTTTACATAGATAAAGCTCTTCGTAAGATGTGGGTTGTACTCGTGAGAACAATTATTTGTATTTCGTTAAGGCATGGGCTACAAGTAATCCCTTCAATGAGTCTATCGGAATCTTTTCCAACAAATGCGAGGGCTCCAACTACAAGAGAATATGTTGATGTTCCTATGTACTGCAATTTTGAGATTTCGATTTCATGGTACTTGTATTTTGATAACTTTTTGAAGATCTTCAAAGATACATTGTAGCCTGTAGATGCTGCCATATCAATAAGGAGGCAGTTTTTTGTTTGCAGCTTCTAGTAACGATGTCAGGGAGATTAGCTTTGATTGTTCTGTTTGTGTGTATTGCGTAGTCCCATAAAATTGTTACATGTCCTATCTCCGTAACTGGGTCTGGTATTATTATTATTATTGTTGTTGTGGTTGTTGTTGTTGTGAGAGAGTAGCCAAATGCCAAAATGTAACGCTGGGATAAAAATATACGAAGCCCAGTATACCTATCATGACACCCAGTCTGATAAGGGTATCACAGCCAAATGTGCGCGATATGATGACAGGTTTTGATAATAGCAGCGCATAAACTTGTAGGTGAAGATCAATTAGAAATATCTTCAGGTTAGGAAACCGGGCCCACTCAAATGGTCTCTACTTGAGGGTGTTCTCAAGTATCGCGATGGGACTCCTTTGATGTTACCTTGGCTGACCCATCCTGCAAACCTACAAAACACTTTCAAAACCCGCCCATGATGTTTGCTCACTACTTTCGATGCACAGTGCATATGGTCAGGCAACTGACAAGCAAATCTGTGGTACTGAAAGGGATATTTAAATGTCGCTCATCTTAATTCCCCAAAACAAAACACGTATCAGTCCAGAAAACATAAGAGCCACGCCTGGTGTAGCATCAGGGCATTATTATTATTATTATTATTATTATTATTATTATTATTATTATTTCTTCCTTTGATTTCTGTTGTATACTCATTTCCTTCCGGGTCCCAACCAGAGACCTAATTTTCCACTAATCATTTTTGTAAAAAGAGAAAGAAAAAGAAAAACCTAAGATCATATAATTTCTACGATTTATTTAATGGCTTTTATACATATTTAAAAAAAATTCGAGAAAGCTGTATTTGGTTAAAATATGTAAGTTGGGAAAGAAGAAAGATATATTTTTAAAAAGTAAATCAACAAACCTACAAACGTCTTTGATTATACTCCCACCGTTCCTCACCCTAACAGCTTTCATATATCGACACAGAAGAGAGACTTTTCTGTTCTCATAATAAGTAGATGTCTCTACGAAAAAATGGATATGTGTGAGAAAGAAAGACTAAGAAGTCACCAAGAAAAGCAGGGGAAAGAGAAACGTGTGGTGATATATATTAACTGAGAGATAGCCAACGCCTGCTGATGATGAGCTTGTTTTGCTCCTGTTGGTTACAAGCAGGCAACTATCACGGATAGCTGGGACAGGTTACCTTAGCGGAAAGTTTGTCATTTCATCGTGTGGATATTTAAACAGAGAAAAAGTGACAGCAACAGAAAGCGAGAGAGTGAGAGAGAGAGAGAGATAGAAAGAGGAAGATTGGTAATAATATGAGAGCCTCATCGATCACCGCTTTTCTATTGATTTGGAATTGTATCGATTTTATTGATCCCCATAGATGGCTGGTAAATGCTGCCAACCCTTCAACCAAAAAGGTAAGAATATTTTTATCGTTTTCTTTGTTAATGTGTGCGTGTGTGTGTGTGTAACTCTGTATGTGTGTCCAAATGTGTGTAGCTAACCACAGCTTAGACTGGCACATGGATTTAGTAATAATAGGTCACTCAGCGAAAACTGAATTCACTACACTAGCGAATTGGTTTGCGGGATGAGCTTGATAACCATCACGCTATGTTAGGCACATGTGTGTGCGTGGAGTCTCATATAGATACATACGAACACATACACAAACACACACACATATACACAAGCACACAGGCATAAATGTATACACATATGTTTAGCCTGTTTGGTAGCTGAGATTGTTATATTCTTGTCACCAGTGCTTAGATCAAAGTGAGAATCCCAAATCCTGATTTTCAGATAGGTACAACATTACTTTAGTTCCACGAGTTCTAACCTTCGCGTCTAAGACCCGCCATGCTACGCACATTGTAGCGGACAACCCTCATTCCATTCGTATTCCATTGTCGAGATGTTAAGTTCCAGTAGAGCAGCTTCTTCCCACGAACCACTGCTTTGTGGAACCGACTCCCAAGAGAATGCTTCCCGGATCACTACAATTTTAACCTGTCTATCTGTTATGTTATCTTTTCCACATATACGCATAAACTGTACTTATTACTCTGTAACCCACTACCTCGAGTGGCAATCGGGCCTTGTATAGAGTGAACATCATTGTAAAAAAAGAAGCTAATTTTAGTATATTATCTGGTTTCCCGCCCTTCGGATTTGAAAGCCAGTAATTAAATGAAGCCTGAGGACCGTGGACCCATCCTCATGCTGCTCCTGTTATCAATTAACCGTAACAGTACCAACAGAATAATAATAATAATAATAATAATAATAATAATAATAATAATATATATATATATATATATATATATATATATATATATATATATATATATGTTAAGCTTTCGTGTGGAAAATTGTAAAACTGTCACAATTGTGTGTAATGTTTCTCTACCATATACGACAGTATTTGGTCATTTTCAATACCAGGAGAGATTCACCAAAGGCTTAACAGAATTTTCTTGTACCTTCTATTTAATAAAATATTTAAAAAAAATGGATTGCAGCCGAATTATATAAAATTTCCCATATTAATTTATGGTCACCGTGGCATAAGAAAACTAAAATTTTTAACCATAATTCCGAAATTTCTAAAAAAGATCAAAAACTATAATTTAATAATAAAAAAAAATTCTTCGATCTTTCCTTTTAATAATAAGAAAGATTTTGGCGATAAAACTTTTATTTAGTTTGGGGCATTTTTTCATCATGTATGCTCATTTTTTTCCGAATATTTAGCGGTACCTCGATATAATTATCCAGGATTTGTTTACGTATCTGTTTTGCATTGTTTTATTTTTCTCGAATCGTTTGAATTTTTCAAACTGAATACTTTGTGTCAACAAACGGAGGAATATGTAACAACATCACAGTATACGGGAATTATAACTCCATTTTTCATGCAGAAAAAAACTAAAAAAAATTACAAAATTTATACAGTAGTGAGGCTTTTGTTGTAACATTAATGTTATCAAAATATGACAGATCTATTACATTTTAGACAATTTTTGTGAATTTTCTGTTTTTGAGACAAAAGACGTTCAATTACTCTGATTTCCAAAGAACAACTATTGCTGCCATATCAAATATTTTTTGTAAACGATTGTTATCAACCTTTGTGTTTTATTATCTATTGTGCTAAGTGTATTTGCAATCTTGCTGTTTCAAATAAGAGGTTTTTAAGCTGGGTAAGCAATTCTGAAAACCTGTATTTTTGTATAATAAAGACCCCCTTTTTGCCTCTAATTTTCTTTCAAAATATATATATTAGTGTTAACAACACCAATATATTACACCACGAAAATAATAAACTAAAACTTCAAATTCTCGAGACCATCTATATCAAAAGCAAGCAACCGACACTCAATCAAATTTATTACGAGTGTAGCAGCAACGTGTTGAAGTTCATATAACAAATATTTAATGCCATTTTGAATTTCTACTAATTTCCAGTCAGCTCATTTTATATTGGGATGCTTGTTTTGCAAAAATCCATAGCTACAACGGATAAATTTAAAATTTTAAAGTAGTTATAACAGAGCGCATTCATGTGTGGTTTTTAAAAATCCCTATCACGACGAAATGCAGATTTTATCACCGAACAATAAATTTGTCTTTGTAATTCACCCCTGAAGATGGTCTTGAAGAAGATCGAAACTACGACGTCTTTCTTGATGAATTTCATCTTAACATCAAGAAACTGATTAGAGAACTGGAAAGGATCAGTATAAAAATGAATAAACATAATATGTTCATATTATTCAATGAAACATATTTGAAAGATATATATATATATATATATATATATATATATATATATATACACACACACACACAAACACTTTCTGGTTCTTGGTTGTTGGATCTGAATGTAATTCAATTTACAGCTCCTCTTATCGTAAAAAATCCTAACCCATTTTCCTTCTACATAGTTTTGTCTTTCATTCTGATCTGAAGAAGCCGAACCCCAACACATGTAGGCGAAACGCGTCGTCTATAAGCTTTTCCACTTTGCCATATATATATATATATATATATATATGTCTGTGTGTGTGCGCGTGTGCATATATATATATATATATATAGAAAGAGAGAGAGACAGGCAGACAGACAGACAGAGAGAGGGGGAGAGAGAGAAAAAATCACAAGTTTCAGTGCTAGTTTTTTGGTATTAGAATTGATTTGTGGGAGAAATTTTGTCAATTTCTGTTCGTAATTGCGAAGTTCTGGTTTATGCTTTTGATTACATTGTTTTTCAACATTTCGTCGCAGTAGATAAAAAACGAGAAAAATTGCCACCCGTTTGTCATCACATGCGCTAAGCTTATCCTTTATTTTGGACATATGAAAACTTTACATTAACCATAAGAATTTCAACACTTGGAAGATTGACGAATCACAGTCTTCCTGCTCTCATTTTGGGTTTTTGCTATACTTTAACATCACTGGTCTGCATAAAATGCTTGTGGAATTTCAGATTCTTATCCTTTGTAATAATCATGGCAGTGAACGTAGTGGGATGGGAGGAAAAAAAACTATGTTCAGAGTGATCATTTAAATATTTAAAAGGTTTTGGGCCAGTTATTTTAGAAAGCGTTCAGAAATAACTAAATAGACACAAATAAATATATAACACCAGGACTTTCTCCTGTACAAAGTACTCTGTATTCCGAAGTTGAAATTCCATATAAAGCCCAATAAAAATTGTCCAAACTAAACATGAATTTACAAATTAGAGTAATTTTAAACCAGATATTAACTCAAGAAATATCTAATGCTAACAGATTATAGTTATCAATTTGTAAACATAATCCCAATTTTTGTTAGTTTAAATGTAATGAATTCGATATTCGAAAAATTTCCAAAACTACACGAATATCAGAGGATTTATTTATTTTGTTACAGTGCAGTCCATACACAGAAGTGGGGAAATCTGTTTCTGTCAAGTGAATTTACCGTTAAGTAAAATAAAAATCATTTTTCTTATGACACGAGAACTCCGTAATGCAACGTCAATATGCTATGGAGACTCTCGGGACAAAATGAAGCGATGATTGCAGAGGGGGCAACATCTGTGAATGGCGTGTTGAGGTTGAATTTAAGAGTAATTTGAAATTTGCAGCTATTTATTGCCCAATGAGATCGACTTCTCCAACAGAATAACAGGTTATCTGAAAATATATTCTTAGTAGAAATGATAACAGATAAGAAAAAAAAACAATAAGAAAAAAAGCAAAATCAATGAAAGATAAAGATAATAAAAAAATTAAATTTATTAATGTGGACAATTTAGGACAGGATTAGATAAAATTCCAACTTTTCGAAACTGAAAGATACATACATACACACACACACACACACACACACACATACATATACATATATATATATATATATATATATATATATATATATATATATATATATATAGAGAGAGAGAGAGAGAGAGAGATAGAAAGAGAGGGGAGAGAGAGAGAAAGAAAAACGAGAAGATATAAAATACTGATTCATCCATTGCTTTTTCAACAGAACTGATACAAGGCCGTTAAATTTTAAATTGAATTGAGTTGTGAATTTCCTATGACGAAAAACTATCACGCTTAGTTAGAACTAATTATTCCATACCACATCCTAAACGAATAGAAAACAGTGTCCCCGCTCCCACCAAAGCCAATGTACTGATGATGAGATGGGCTATACGGATGACGTTCATAGTTGGGATAAGATTGATCTTGAATAGAAAATCAACATCTTCTACCAAGTATTCCAAGAAATAGGACTCAAGATATACCATTTCAAAACAGTAACTATGATTTAAAATTGAAATGAAAGTAGTAATGGCACCTACTCTGAATCTACCATAGAAATTCAAGATGTGGAATTAGTAGATGTTAAACACTTCAAATACATCAGTTATAAAAAATTTAGTATACGAGATAAGGAAATTGAACATAGAATAGGCTGTACTAGGGGTAGTTTCGCCCAATACTGCAAATTGCTACAAAACTAAAACATTAACGTAAAAACTCGTCATGTTCTTAAATGTTCTTGTCTGATCGAGACTTTCGTATAAATGTCATAACATGACGCCAAACTCGGTCAGAAATATCTAAAAAATAATATAAAATAGCAGATAAGAACAATAAGACTAATCCGTAGAAATTTGATGAAGCGCCCCGGAATTGTGTTAGAAGCCTTTTAGAAGCTAAGCAAAGTAATAAGACATAGGAATGTTTCGTTAGAAACCAAGAAAACATTGCTGAACTGCTATGTTTTATATATCTTCCTGCATGACAGTGAATGTTGGAAGAGTTTCTTTATGGATGAAGACGCAGCTCGAAACGACAGAGATGCGGTTTTATAGATGGATACTGAGAATATCATGGACATAATACGTGAG